AGGTAAAACAGTGAGTCCCTGTACAGGAACATTTCTGGACATGCAGTAACCTCAGGCCCTGTATTTTTCTCCACATCCTCTGGTCACAGTGCAGCAGCAGGTAAAATATATCCACAAAACCACATGCAGTTGAAAAACTCTGCTTTTAAAATGGCACCATTGGATGTCAGGCAAGTTCACATCATCATATTCTCCTCCTATCTGTAAACTATTACTTTACATTGCTGGAAAAAAGTCACCCCACTGTGAGTTTGCAAGACTTGTATAAACCGAGTTGCTTCTGCATAGAAGTACAACAGCATAGGTATACCTCGTTTTTTTAGCTTTAGTTCACAATTAAGATGATAATTCACCATTGTAATATTGTAGATAAGTCAGAAACCACAGAAAAACATTCCATGGGCTCTTTAAGTAACAGTAATAATACCATGGTGCTGTTACATTTAAAATTCTTGCATTCAAAATGTTATTTAAGTAAAGATTTTATGACTGAAGCTCACCACAGTGCAGTGGCTCATATAACGAACAGGTGTGTTGTCTCAGACCCTTTTATCAGTTTAGCACTGTAATACTTGTGTGTCTCAAATTTACACTGGAACCACTGTGAGCTCAGATCAAGTTTTATTGTGTATTGTAAGACTGGGATCACAGACATGACAGTGGTGTTCCACAATTTCACTGAGCGTCACCAGGCCCTTTTTTCATTCACTTCATACTCAGAAATACAGATATGCAAGCCTTAAATCAAGGTTCCATTTAAATTGTCTACATGTGCAGTAATTCTAATAGGATGTTTTAAAACTGTGAATAGAATAGTGAATGTAGGTTATAAAGTTACCATCTCCTTCATCAAAGTGTCCACAATCAAAATACGTCAGTTACGTTGGAGAACCTCTATTTGGGATCTTACTTCAGATAATGTTAGCTCTTATGTCAGATAACCATTCCAAATTCTGAACTCTGCTGGCAAAAAAGCCATTATCAGAAAGTGTCTAAAACCAGTTATATCTATCACTGACAATTGATTGATTTTATTTATATCTTTACAACTGAAATAATAACTTTTTCTTGGACTGCAATAGAACACATTTTGAAAATCTAGTAAATTCTGTTTTTTATTTTTTATTTTATTTTATTGGTCTTTGCTGTTGTATTATGTCTTGTTACCTAGCTTTACTCCTACAACTATTTTAACAAGAGCCATGTACAATCAAGGCTTATTATGATGATTGTATTGTATGTGCCTCTGCATATTCCTCTAAAATAAAAATACCAGAAAAAGTTACGTCACCACCAGTGGTTTTTGTGGAGTAATCTCTCTGCCATAGACAGATAGATATGTAGATGAAAAACTTTATTATTCATCTCTTGAATGTCCCCAGACTTACCCCATAAAATATACACCAGAGGCCCACTGTGGTGCTGCTGTGTGGGCCCCATGTTCAGGGAGCCCGTGGTATCAGCTGTGGTAGACACTTGGCCCACTGTGAAGTTGAGATCATCCTATTTGTGCCCAGCTTTGTCAAGATGCAGGAGGTGGTCACCATCAAAGTCAAGCAAGCAATGCACACCAATAGACAGTATTTAGATGGTTAAATCCCTGTCTTCTCTGCATTCAGTGATGAAATGGACCAAGCTGGGTGTATGGGCTGATCAGTGAAAGTATCTGGGTAAGACTGTATAGCTATCTCAAAGCAAGTGTGATGAGTTTTCATCTTTTTAAATTGACAAAATCAAAATCATTCCTCCATGTCAAACAATGCAACCAGACTACTGCTACAGCTATATAGGAACAGTTTGATTAGATTGTCAACATTCAATGCTATGAGTGCCAAAACACTGGAAGATGTACTTAAGAGTCTAAATGCATCCACCTACTGTTTGGACATTCTCTCAACTACCTGCTTCACAAAGGTTTTTTCAGTTTGCTTGGAAATAGATGTGCTGAAAATTGTCAGTGACTTGCTCCTGTCAGGTGTTTTTACAAAATCACTGAAAACTGCACTTGTTAAACCCCTTCTAAAGAAATGCAAATGGATGCAATTAAATTTCCTTCAATTAAATAAACACAAGACAGAGTGTATTGTTTTTGGCAGCAAGAATGAAAGGGTGGAAGTTATTGCTCAGCTCGATTCTAGAGCCATAGAGACAAAAACTAAGTTAGAAATATTGGTGTCATAATCAACTTCACCAGACAGATCAAAACCATTGATTAAATCAGCATGTTGTCATCTCAAACAAATAGCAAGACTCAGATGTCTCATGTCCAGACAAGATTTAGAGAAACTAATTCACGCCTTCATCTCCAGCAAGCTGGATTATTGTAACGGTCTTTTGCCTGGTCTTCTTAAAAAGACAGACTGTTAGACAACTACAGCTCATTCTAAAATCCTCCTGCCAGAGTTTAAACAAGACCCAGGAGAAGTGAGGACATTATTCCAGTTCCATTATTCCAATCCTTACACTGGCTACCAGTTACCTACAGAATAGGTTTTAAACTGCTACTACTAGCTTATGCATCCTTCAGTGGTATGGGGCCAAAATACAGCTCTGAGCTCCTTAATGAATACAAACCCAGCAGGGCTCTGAGAGCTTTAGGAAGCAGTTAACTGGCAGAACCTTGGGTCAGAACCACACAGGGTGAAGTCACTTCTAACTACTGTGCTTCACACAGATGGAACCAGCTTCCTGATGACCTTAAATATGGTTTTTAATGTTTCTTGTTTTTAAGGTTGTTAATTCTTTCTTTGTCCATGTAAATCTATTTGTCTCTGTGTTTGAAATGTGCTATATAAATAAGGCTACCTTTCCTTGTCTAAATATTGGTTCATTTTGTCCTGTTGGAACAATCCAGCACAGACAAATGTTGCTTTCTAGTGGAGTGGAATAATCTAAAACACTACTGATACATTCTGTGTCTCAAACTGAGTGATATTTTGGAAGCACACTTGTAACTCAGAATACTTTGTTTTGTAAAACATGTATTTACATTTAGCAAACATGAGAAAATCTGGTCATGATTAATGACTCTGCTCTATCAATTTGGTAACTACAAACCAGGCCTGTTGTCTGGCAATACAGGGCTGATTTACATGAGTGGAGGTGCAGAGTTCAGGTTTGGCATTTATATTCCAGTACAGATTGTTTTAGGATGTCTCCCGAGTACATGGTTTTGTGAGGCAACTCTGAAACACTATGTTCAGCACTTTTATGTTTTTTTTTTTGCTTCTCCTTATGCTGTGTCTCAGGCTTGTCTGTGAGCTCTGTTGATCTGTTCATCAACTACCTGCACTGCCATGAGGACCCACTGCTGAGAGAACAGTCCTGGTACCAATCACCTGCTGACTGGCAAACCAGAACCGGACTCCAGTGCTCAGTATCGATCCTCCAGTCAACGAGCAGCATCAGACTGTTGTGATGAGTGGACTCTCTTTTTATCACTTCCACTACCATTAGCCAATACAGAGAGCAGGATCTACCTCTGTGATATTGATGTCCCTAAGATGGTGTTCCATAAAGTTGGAAAAAACTCCCACTCACACTTTGGATGTAAATTTGTCATTCTTCTGCACCCAGCATAAACGAATGTGCATTCTTTCTTATTACAAATATGTGGAAGTGGAAAATAAGACCAAAAACAATACTCAGTTACAAAAGGGGTTTTTCCAGTATAGGAATCTACTGAAACGTGTCGAGCTAAGTAACACTCATGATGGGGTTCTGCGTTTGTATACACTACAGTGAACCTGTATTGGAGGTGTGTTCTAGGAGCTAAACTTTGGCACCCCTCAGGAAGGAGTACTACAGTCAAGTACTAGCAACGTGAGAAGGGAGTGGATATGTGTGCCAGAGCAGTCGCTGGTGATTTCTTTAAATGTTCATATCGTCACACACCAAGAATTAGCATTACCAGCACGGTGTGTAAAAACAGCTGACTGCATGTGTGAGAGAGGAGCAGCCCCTCCTTCCTCTAAAACAGACACCAACAGAGAGAAAATACAGTGAAAAAACAAAGCAGTACATTCCGTGTCAACCCCGGAGGCTATGCTTGGTGATGGTTAAGGGAAGTGCGAGGTATACCACTTGTTAGGTTCTGATAGTGGAAATGCAGCAAAAAGTGTATACAACTTCGTGAAACGTTTAGGGACATCATCTGAAAGACTAACCTGTGCAGTAGGGTTGCCCTCTAGCCTGCTGGAAACTCCCAGGAGTTCCTACATGTTGCGTGCGACACCTCTTGTTTTTGAGAGGGAAAGGTTTCCTGTTCTTTGGTGTGTTTTGATAAGAGCTCTGTGATGATGTGAATATGTTTACAAAATGCTGACCACTGTGAGTCTGTCTGTGACCTCTGACCCTGTGGCCATTCAGAGCAGCAGTTAGACTGTTCCTGTTTCCTGCTTTAGCTTGTATGTGGAGTTTAGTCCTGACCCTGTGACACAGAGCACAGCTCAACCTGAAGTTACCCACCAACGCAAATCTGCCATTAATCTGCCCCACAAATGATGTCCATGTCCTCTGTTTTTCAATTAAATTACTACATTTATTTTGTACCTATTCAAATGGATGCATTTTTCAAGTAATGGTGAAGCACATTTCATTGACAAGGTGGCATTACACAGAATCTATATATATGTATATATATGTATTTGTTTGTATGTGGTTCAGCCACTAGTAACTGCTCCGACCAACTTTCTCTCTTTTGCTAAATGTTAGCTTTTCAAGTCTTACCTTAGACTGACTGCTATACACTTTTGAATTTATGCACGTAAGGTTTTCTGAGAGCACTGAAGTCCTTTTATCAAGAACTTTTCACAAAAAATACATTACTTGAAGTAAAAACCTCTGAGTCATAAGATATAAATAACAGCTTTAATAGGTTTTGCAGGGTTCTGACTTAACTAACTTTGCATTTAATGAATTCTTTAATATATTTCATAAAACAGCAGTTTCTGAACACAATTCTCTTTACACTTTGATTACTAATTTGTGATGGAGGGTTAATTAATTAATTCTGATTAATGCAACAGCAGTAGTTGTTCTTCCAGAAATACAGAAATACAAAAATGAAATAAATGAATTTGTGGTGAACAAGACAATAACTGCTCGAAAAATCTTTGAACTTTGTCCTTTAGAGCTTTCCCAAACCAGAAACTGTGGGTGTGCAACACTGGTAGGCTGAGGCAGAAAAGAATAAACTTAATGAATTGGTGCTTTTGCTTTTGTTCTGAATAGGAGATCTGAATATTCATGTAAATGAACTACTTTAAATTTGCCTGAGCCCTTACACTCGGTCCAAAAGGCTGCAGCATCTTTTCCCATGCTTTCTTCGAATAGCTGTTCTTTTTCTTCTCTGCTGCTGCAAAAACAAAATAAAACACCTAAGAAATAGAAATATAAAACATACGGTTCTACATACATGTAATGATTTATATGTAAAGTACCTGGCAAAGCATCTAACTGATATTTATTTAACCTGGACCTTCTAATTAAATACAGATGTTAACATGACAGAGGGTGCTCCATTTTATGCAAATATAATTTCAAAAACACTTGCAAACATTTAAAATGCACAAGAACAAGAACTGGGTCATGGTAATTGACAAAAAACACCACAACAGTTGTTACACCAAAGTGCAGTTTTGAGGCATTCACTGTATAACTGGGTATTTCCATTTAATGCTACCATATACTGCAACTTCACTAGTTTTAGGGAAATATTGTACTTTTTACCTTTTACTCCACTCTATATACTGTATTTGGCAGTTATAGTTATTACCTACTACTTTGGATTTTAGAACGCAAGATATATGACAATTTTATAAACTGTGATGTGTTACCATCTCGAAATGCATTCATTCCCAGAAGCAGCACTGTGCCCATCTTGTTCCAATTGGTTTCACTGTGTAAAGTGTTAATCAGTGTGCAACAGCTCAGCTGTTTCCGTGCAGAAAAACATCCAATTCTGCAAAGCGATGCAGGAGTTGTCTATAGTGAATATCAGTAGAGCCTGCAGGATTGTATTTCATAATGTGCACAAGAACTGTCTATGGCAGCATAAATCTTGTTTTAATGAGAAGCTTTTCTCAATATAATAAGCTATTCTGCTCATTTTTTCAAGACACTTTCATGTTAAAACATTTTTGATATTATTGTGTCTACTGCGTTTTCTCATTTTAATGACATACTGTAGGCTATTTTGTCTATATATATATAATATTTTCGTGTAATAACATGATCCTTGCACGGCTTGGAGTGAGTGCAGCATACACATTGTTTTTGAGCAGCACCTCCGTAGCTCATTCAAATTGCTTGATTTAGCATAATTTAAAAGTGGAATTATTTTACTAATAGTACAAAATAAACCACATGCTTATTCCAGTATTTAGTAAGCAATTTAACTGCAGTTTACTTGACTTTTTGGACTGATGTCTGTGTGGTTATATTCTGCTTTCAGTGACACTGTAAAACATTCATGGGTTTTGGAGTTGCATGCTAAAATCTAGGTGCTGGTCATGGTAATAATATGAATAAAAATTAAGATGACTGCACAAAAGCTCCAATAATATGATTGTATGACCAGCACTTCTTTCTTAAGGCAAATTGAGTACTCGCATGAGACAGCCATATTTTATACACATGTAACACCTAACACCAATCAGTGACATCTTCAAAAGGGTAGACCTGAGTTATTCACAATCACTGAACATTAGAAAAAGTTAATATCACATTTCATTCAATACATATATTTTCTACAAAACATCAAGAGACATAATTAGAACTATACCTTTAAAAAGGTATAGCAAAAATGTGTTCAAATGCCTCAATAACATAGCTTAAAGAGTACAATAAAAACAAGAGCTGCATTTAGTAGCCATTATACAATCTACTATATTGTACACCATAATGTATTTGAAACCGTACAATCAATTCCTATAAGAAGATGAGATGTGGTGCAGATAAAGAATCATCTTAACAATAAGGGGAGAAAACAAAGCTATAATCAATAACACTGTACTATATATATATATCAGCTCATAGTAGGGGTAATTAACCATTTTTGTGGATTCATTGGGAAACGAACAAGGAGACTTTGAGATCAAATTTAATCTTGAGCCCATTGCATTTTTAAACCAACAGCATGCTTTGTAGAAAAAAAAATATTATGTGTATTAAATGTTCTGCTCTCTTAATTTGTAATTTTCAGTTTTTGAGTGTTCAGTGATTGTGACTAATTCAGATGTATCCTTGTGGATTGCTGAAAGTATAGGTGTGCATATGTGTGTGTGTGTGCAGTAAATAAAGTTGTTGGGCATTAATACTGAATTTGCCTTGAGATAGACTAGCTGTGGCAGGAACATGGGTCATGTTGACTTTTGTATTGTGATAGTGGTAATTGGTTAAACATTTATTTAGGAATGTCAACTGTATACTGCAAATTTTGACACAGGGCGCATAAACAAGTGGACTAGGCAGGTTATTATGCAGTGTATAATCCCTGACAAATTTACAGATATTACCACAAACCAAGTACATGAAAATATGGGCCTCTCCAAGACTTATTCTATAATATTTTATATATAACTGGAATGAAAGGGGGTATTTTGTACGAGTAGCTTATAATGTGCCGCTGCCTTTACATATGTTTTTAATTAATGTACAGGATATTCCAACACCAGTCCCCACACCAATTTTCCTCAGGGAGATGTCGACCACACACCTGTGTGGGAGACCGATACAGCACTGAATTTTCCCCTTGGCTCGGTACAGTAATCCTGCTAGTATATTGCAGCATACGTCTTGCCCATCCGTGCTGTAGTACTGCTACACACCATGGTTTTGCCCAGTTTAAGCTGCTGCAGGTAGGGACCTAACTCAGTAACATGTCTGCCATCAGGTGACAGTCTCCCCTGTTGGCCACACGGTTGCGCTCACAGACCGTACGCCAAGTGCCTGTTACTGCGCATGCGTATTCCGTTCACAGAGCAGAGCCCATTTCCTCCAGCAGCAGGCCTCACAGAGCTCCAACATACACAGACGTTTACATACAGTCAAACAGACACATTTGCGGAGTACGAACAACCGTCAAGGGAAAGCCACGTTTGGGATTGTTTAATCTTAACGCCGCGAAAGCTGAATGCCCCCCAGCCGCAGGAGTTGTCCCAATGGGCCTTCGCCGCTAATTTGCAGAAGCGTTTGTTCGACTCCACAGTGGTAGCTTTGGGTGAGTCGTCCACAGAAACGGTTTTGTCTCGTTGTGTTGCTGCTGCAACGTTTTAGACTGGGGAGCTTCATAGCATACGGCACAGGGGAATGTTATTGTTAAGCTGCGCATTGTGTTTTTGTTCTTGAGTCTACTTTACATCCATTGACTGCCTCAAAGTGTTAAAATAATCCGTTTTCATTGTAGGGCTAATCTGTTTGAGAGCATTTTCTGCTACTTAACATAAAGAAACGGCACGAGATCCATTATCGGACATAATTTAAGCTACCTCTGCTGGTTTTCCATCCGTGTCCGCTCCCTACTACATTTATTAGGTTTGACAGCAAAACAACATAAAAAACAAGACAGTTGTTAAATCACACACGTGTTGTTCGTTTACTTACGAATATGTTCATGTTATGGGCAATTTTGCTGCTGTTCCCAAAATCTCCGGGTCACCTCCCTTCTTTCCTCTTCTGGTTCCATAGTAATGGTACTTGAGTATTAGTGTGGAGGGTCCACGGTACTGGAGGGAGGGAGGGAGGGAGGCCCAGACAGCTGGAGTCGGTCACACTGGAGTCCTACAGCACTGTGTTACAGGCGATGCGCCTTTTTACATTCGTGGTGGAACTGGGGGGTATAGGGAGACCACTAGTGTATCGTCGAAATAAAAACCACGTACATATTAAGTTGTGCTAACAGTTCGGTCTGATATTTGGCATTTTTGTGCTGAGTGATGAGGACGAAAAGCTCGAAAAGAAGGATCCTGTCCGAGAATGGACCTATACGTTTTAGCCACCTCCGCGATGTGCTAGAACACAAGACGAGCTGGAGGTTCAGCCTCTTGCATCGAGAAAGCATTGATCCGAATCTCTCCACAGATACTGTTTTAGTATGTGTTCATTATTGCCTGTCTTGGTTTTAGGTGAGTGTCACTGTATATAAATGTGCAGAAGGAGCAGTGCTACTGAAGAGCAGTCCTGTTGATAATGAAGGCCGGTAATTGACAAAACGCTGCTATGATGACACACTGATACTCTTTTTGTCCCACAGTTTTTTTTTCCTTGCATGGCATCGTGGGGTGTACAGAGGTCAGGTTAAGCTACAGAACAGCATTCTGCAGCCCTCAGAGCTCAAGGACACTTAAGCTTGGTGGATACCTGCAAACACAGAACTGTTCAGGTTTAGGAACATAAAATACACTAACAGTAGCTGTGGTGTTGTCACATGTTGGTGGTATTTTGGGGATCAAATCATCATAAAGCCTGCTCTCCATGCAGCTCTTTGGCCTTGTTTGTTAGGTCCTCACTTTGTGCTTAAAGGTCTGACTGAAATGTTGCAATGTACATACCTTTGCAAGCTGTGGCAAGACTGACAGAGGTGTAGTGTCTGTAGTGTATTGTTACTTTAAACAATGTTCCCATGTTCTGTAGGGGGGGACAGATGCTATGATTAGTGTGTTATCCCAGTGTCTGTGCCTGTTAACAGACTTGTTACTGCTCAGAATACCAAATATCAGCACTCCACATCTTGTTGCCTGTTGTGGTAACTGATTGCTAGTCAGTTTGAGGCTGTCCAGCAATTGGATTTGGAGACACTGGCAAGTGGACTGTCTGATTTGATGGATAATTACATTATGCAATCTGCTCATTAGCAGATCAGTTTTGCTTCTTAATTTAACAACACAAAGTTGCAGTTACTTGGTATGCAATGTTCTGCAAGTGTCTCCTTAATTGTGATTACAAAAAACAATCAATAGGTGTCTGCTGTTTATTTTGTGCTATTAAATAGTTATTTCATTTTAATACCCACCTGTCTTTGCTGTTGTGTTAATTACAGTGAATGCAATGCTCACAAAGCAGCAATATGGATCTGGGTTTTCTCTTAGAGAAATCTATTATGAAGATTTGATTGAGTGAGGCGGGGGTGTGAGGCCTTGGCATTCATGTTCCCCAGAGGAATCTGCTGTTTGCAACATGTTAGGAATCCATATGTTGCATCAGTGAGGGCTAACTTGCTGTCCACATGTCCAACATAGCACTGAGTGGTTGCAATTAATGTCTTTTTCTGTTGATGATAAGAATTCAGTAGGCGGTTACAGTTCACCAAATCTGTGGTTCGGTTCAGATCTCTGTCTTTTAGCCTCAGTTCAGTTTATACCTTTTTTCTCTTTTGTAAATTAAAAAAAAAGGTTTGGGGGGCGGGGCCTGGTCTGTTTTTGTTACATCACCAACAGTGTGGAACACTAGAGAGAAGAACACACTTTTACAAGAATCGTGTGGTAAACAGAGGTTAAATTAACTGATAATTTCTAGAAGAACATATAAAACAACTGCACATAAATGATATTTCTTTGTTTTAATGGCATAATCAAGCTGTAAATTACCCAGTTCAATTACAGTTTTTATGATGATTTTATGTCTAGTTTATGATGAAACAGCTTTTCAGATGATGGTCCACAACAACAAAGTAGCTCCAGTCTTAAAATGACCATAAAACACACCAAAAAAGTATCCTCTGTTGTCAGTTTGAAGTATTTGGATTGTTCTGATTTGAACTTCTCAGTGTTTTTAGCAATACCCTTGCTTTAAAAAAACAAAACTGTGTTATTCATGTTCCAGCAGATGGAACAGCAAACCCAGACTGTGGACATTTGGGTTGCAGTTTCGGTTTTAGACCCACTACATCCATAGAATTCAGGTCATTTCTACTATATGTCACAAAATGTTTTAATACAGCACTTAGTATAATGTACCCGTCCTCTGAATGTAGCATGACGTAGCCCTGATCTGGGCAGCCAGACTGTACAGCACTCCATCTGTGAAGTCAGACCCTTCTAGGGTAAGGTGGCAGAAGACTTATCGACTGATTTTTTTGGCTACACTAAGTTCCCTCCCTCCCCTATATTCTCTTTGTCAATAGCTCTCACTGACAGACTGATGGCTAGATCAGAGGTGCAGGTTGATGAGGGCTAGGGGTGACAGGACAAGTCTGGAGGCCAAGCCACATATCGTCTCTCTTGTTTTTAGCAGTGAGTTATGAGGAGGAAAAAAAAAAGAGTCTTGTCTGTTCACAAAGCTGCAAGGAGCTGAGCTCTGTTTCTGTCTTATGGCTCCAAACCTGGCTTATGTGCTCAGCAAGGAAGTAATGGCTCCTCTGTCTGTACATTGACCATCTCATTGCCAGTTTGAAGCCTGTCCAAGGGCCTGTGGAACTCAACACAGTGACCATGTTTAGTTCATTTTTTTCCCTCTAACGTCTCCTCTCCAACATCTGCTTAATCCAAATGTGCAATGACAGAGGAAGGATTTCTCATGATGACTGTGGTGCAGAGCGTAATGCTAAACTGACACTCTTAACAAACTTAATGTCTATCTGATAAGATATGTGCACATTCTGAGTTATGCAGGTTTATTGTAGTTGCAAGATGCAAAGTAAGAAGCAATGAAATGGTCCACTTATTTAGGAACAGTGATGGAAAGTGAAAGTGGCAACAGATCTGCACCTGCACCGTTTCCTCTTTTTAATCTCACACAAAGACAATAGCTACATACAATAGTACTTTACACAGTTTGGGAGGTGTACAACAGTTTTAATTGTCTCTGGGCTGGTAAATGGTAAAGAAGTTCTTTGTGATGTTTGGATACCAGACATTACTAGACACTGCTAGCATTGAAGCAGGTGTAGATACTGTTTATGAGCTTCCATTAAAGCTGCAACTAATGGATTATTTTAATTGTCAGTTAATCTGCCAATTGCTGTTTTCATTAATCACTTACTAGTGTAGTACATAGTGTTAGAAAATATGGAAATACTGGAAATTTATTAATTCATATTGCATATTTAAAAAATATTTGTATTATATTTAGCATATTGTTTTTGTTGATTAAATTTATGAATCAAATTGTTTCACTTAATTGCCATCACAGTGGACATTTCATTTTTCAAAATCTGTCTTTATAATCTTAGAATCCCTTACAGGATGAGTGTTAATCTGTAATGAAGTAAACTTTGATTATATCAGTCCACATATACATTTGGTGCATGACTGCTTTATTTTTATTTATTTAACCTCATGGTGTCACTCCTATATCTTCTTCTCTGTTCAGCACCTGCTGAGCTGTGATGGAGGAAACCGTGATTCCCCCCCTCCCAGTGATCATGCTGCCCAGTAGAATAGTGCCACTGTGACTGGCATCTTGTCTGCAAACTCAGTGAGACCCACTCCATCTGGGCAGCGATCAGTTGGTCAGTCAGGCAGCCTCTTGAAGGCCAGGAGGCAGCCTCCATCAGCATGCCTGCTGGCTAGTTGTACAATGCAAGCTCCACTGACACATGCCCGGTCTTTTACTCCGCCCACAGTCTTCAAAGAGTCACCACTGGGGGCCATTTCAGCCAAGAATAATGAAAATCCGAGGTTTGGCATTATTAGAACATGCTGTTTCAGACAAGTCGGCGTTTGTTTTTGTTTTCTTTCTTTTGCTTTGCACATTGATGCTCCATCAAAAAAGAATGTATGTAGAGTCCACAGCTGTCAACAAACGGTGACTAAAAATCTTTTTTTTAATCTGCATTTTTGTGTGACTGCATGTTTTCTTTTTGTAAGCTACAGTGGTATCATAAAAGGAGCCTCATCTGTCAGATCACAACCCAGGCACCCTCACCAATTCCTGTAACCAGCAGCTGAATTTTCACATTATCTAGATAATGATTTTTCCACCTGAGGTTTAAATGGAATTGTTGATAATACTCCAGGTCTAAGCCATGAACCAAGTAAAGTATGATGTGGCCTATGGGTCCCTGCTCATCCTGCACTAACCACCCTGCTTCCATAGCCACAGCTAGCATGACACAATAGTTTCCTATTTAAATGACAGACAGCTGTATGACATCAGTTTGTGTTTTAGGGTTGTGCAAGTCGGGATTTGAATTAATGAGCAAAAGGAAAAATGTTAGCATAGGGAAAAGGTCTGACACTTCCTCTTTGTGTGGGTCCATGCAACAGAGCTGAGGTGAGGAGCATCTGTCTCACTGCTCCTTCTTCATCTTGTCTCTGCTCATAGAGACCTGAGTTGACAACTCTTGTTTTCTAGTTTCTCTTTCCTTGCTCTTTTTAAGGCTAGTCAGTAGTTAGATTTAAATATCAGTAGCATCAGATTAGATTCTCATCCCCACCTGTTGAGATAGGGATCACCACACCAGGTAAGGTGATTAACCATCCAATGAAATAACTACAGAAAGGAAACCGCTTTGTGGGTCAGTTTGACTTGAACATGTCTAGATCAGCAGTGCTGCTTGCACTCGTACATGTGCCCTGGATTTAACTTTTAAATCTTCGGCTGAATTTTGACTTCAGTGAGCTACTGTTATCCAGTGGTTCTTACTGGAAAAGGCTCAGAAGTTTCCCACTCTTTGCTCCAAAGATTTTTTATTTTTATTTTTAGGAAATACTGATGATAACCAAGACAGTACTTTTCTCCCAGCTGGCTCAACCTTCATATTAAAGGTCATATTATTAAACATTTTTTAAACCTTGGTTGGTCAGTATAATGGATACTGCTCCCTGAGATGATTAAGATGTGTTAGCTGGGTTTTTCTCTCCAGTTAATATTGAAGCAACTGCTTTGTTAATACAGTATTTTTATGCCTCTGCACCAGTGACTGCCATGATCAGATGTGATATTTTTGTGTCCGTCTGTCCCATTGTCATGACTGATATCTCAGTATCGCCTTCAGGGAATCTCATCAAATGTGTCAAAATGTCCACTTGAATTCAGGGATGGAGTGCCAAAGCTCTCCATCAGTCAAAATGAAGACAGCTTGTTTCTCACTGGAAATTATTCACTAGAATTCCTTCTAAGTCCATCCATCCATTATCTATACCGTGTATCCCTGAAGAGGGTCATGGGGGGCTGGATCTCAGCTACACTGAGCAAGAGGCGGGGTACACCCTGGACAGGTCACCAGTCTGTCACAGGGCTGGTGCTTAGAGACACACCCACATGCTTCTACAGGCAATTTAGTCACCAGTCAACCTAAGCTGCATGTCTGTGGGAGGAAGCCGGAGTACCCAGAGAGAACCCGCACAGGGAGAACATGCAAATTCCACATAGAAAGGAAACTTCCTGCTGTGAGATGACCGTGCTAACCACTGTGCCAGCATGCTGCCACCTTCTAAGTCTTTACTGGTTAATATTATGAGTCTGGACAGACAGACAGACAGGTAGATTGCCAATCAGTGATGTGCCATTCCACATTTTCTTTAGTTCCAATCCAATCCAATTCTGATACACAAATGCCAATTCTGATAAAGGAGTTCTTTCATTGTAATAAAACAATAAACACTAATAAACAAAATATTAAATACGGGTAATGATGGATGAGAGTTGTCTTCCCTGGTAGGCTAGTGGTTAAGGTGCAGCGCTCTTGTTGAGAATTTTATGCATAGTGTGATGCCAGTGTTCAGGCCAAGGTATAGCTGATAAAATATCAAATTGGTCTCTCTCTCTCAACCTAGGTTCACTAGATAAACCAAAAGAGGACCATACTAAAGACCCATACTAATATGTCATTTACAAACCCCAATTCCAATGAAGTTGGGACATTGTGTAAAACGTAAATAAAAACAGAATACAGTGACATATTTAATTGAATACACCACAAAGACAAGATATTTAATGTTCAAACTGAAACTTTGTTTTTTGCAAATATTCACTCATTTTGAAAATGATGCCTGCAACACGCTCCAAAAGAGGTGGGACAGGGGCAACAAAAGATTGGAAAGGTTTAGGAATGCTCAAAAAACACCTGTTTGGAACATTCCACAGGTGAACAAGTTTATTGGAAACAGGTGAGCTTCATGACTGGGTATAAAAGGAGCATCCCAAAAGGCTCAGTCATTCACAAGCAAGGATG